CCCCCCCCCCCCCCCCCCCCGTTGTGTTCCCCAGGGCCTGCTGGGTGAGGGTTATGCCCTCGTCGCTGACGTTGCGGGGGCTCCTTCGGGCGATGAGGGCGACTTGTTGTGGCGATTAGCTATTTGCCGGGACGAGGAATCAGGTGTGCCACGTTTTTCTCGAAACGTATGGTGCCATGACGCCCGTCCGTCCAGGGCAATGCGGTGAAATGTTTCTGTTCAAAGCTTCCGGTTGGTTAGCCAGTGTAGGCCTAGGAAACAGCTGCTGCTGTGACCCGTCAAGCCGAACAACGATTACCCCGTCAGGCCATTTCATTTTTTTTTTTCAGACTTTCAAGCGGCTTTCGAGTGAGTGGTTTGAACGATGTTGACGTTGTCCGGAACCTTCGTCCTTAGGGGCGCACTGGGGATCGCAGTTTTCCTCTTCAAAAATCCGGGAAACGCCAGCATATCTCAGTTTTTCAAGTCTAACTCGAGTGCGAAACTTTAGTCGCAAATTGACCGCCCGCTGACCCCCTCTCGTGTACAATGTTAGTATCTGAGATTGTAGCCCTTGCGATACACTGTAGACTAGCGGCCCGCGATTTTCCAGACGACAATTCAATCATCGAGATCGGTGAGCTACAAGGAGGATTTTTGCAGCTGCTATGCGGTCCGATTTTGAAGCGCCTTTGCTTCTGGCTAGACCTACAGCAGTACATATACTAATATTGTACACGAGAGGGGGTCAGCGGGCGGTAAATTTGCGATCAAAGTTTCGTACTGGAGTTAGACTTTGGAAAACTGAGATATGCAGGCGTTTCCTGGATTTTTGAAGAGAAAAATTGCGATCCCCAGTGCGCCATTAAGAACTTGATTATTCTCAGGGTTTTCTTTTCGCACCCAGAGCGTTGTCTCGGAGGAGATTCGATGGATTACTTTATCGCTTGTCGCGCACTATTTTGAAGTCAGTAACGACGGCTCCCTATCACCAAAGAAAACGAGGAAGTTTTTTTTGCTTTTGTTCCTCTCAGTGTAGAGGTCGGGGCAAGGGACCAACGAAGAAGAGCAACAGCGGTTTCCACAGCTGTCAGTCGGCGTCTCCAGCCTTTCTACTCACGGTCGGTGTTGTCGGCATTTTTTTTTTTTTTGTCTTCACTTCAAATCAGCGCTCACAGCACTGATGCCGTTTAGTCCAACCCGTGGTCACACCCCTCTCTACCCTCCCCTCCTGCGGTACTTTGCCTTCGATTTTTACTGCGAGAAGAGTTCAGCACTCTCTTCCCTCTGTGTACACACGAACTAGCGCTATCCACTAGGCCAGGAGCGGAAGCGAGGGAAAAACTCACTTTGCAAGAAAAGCTCGCTTACGCCGGGATTCGAACCCCTGACCTGACCTCTAGAAGGGTTCGAGGATACCAACTAGACCACCGGGGCGACCTTGTCGGCATTAGGAACCACTAAATACCACCACCAGGCCAAGGGATCGTAGACATTTGTGCGTAGATTGTTTTCGGGAAACACTTTGCGTCGGAGAGCACTTGTTTTTTATGCAAGTCGGTTGGGCATTCAGGAATATCGCGGACACGACACCAGAGCACCAGCAACATGCTTGGATTGTTTTACCTCTCTCTTTGTCTCATTTCCATCACCGAACTGCTCCTGCCCTTGCTGTCCTTTGTCTCTCTCTCTCTCTCTCTCTCTCTCTCTCTCTCTCTCTCTCTCTCTCTACCTGAGCCACTCTCCTTTACCCTTGCCACCCGCCGTCAGACGCGTCTCCACCATAGTCTAACCACCCCTCCCTCCCCTCTCGCAGGCCTACCAGAGACCACGGTCCGCGTCATCCCCGCCGACTTCACCTCCGTCGACCCCGCAGCGCTGTTCCCCCGGGACACCGCCTCCAAGGACACAGTAAACCCCGATGAAACCACCACAGCTAGCCGCCCCCACGTCCTAGTCGGCTGCTGCTTGGCGGATCTGCTCGCTCCGACCGACCTTGTGCGAGCCTTGGAGAGGCTTGCGGGCGGTAGCAACAGCGGTGATGGTGGCTGTCTGGTATACCTGCCGATAACGTTCGCCGGGAAGACAAGGATGATCCCCTCTGCGCCGCAGGCAAGATTTCGAGAGAGCAGTGCAAGAGCGATGTGCTGATTATGTGTGTGCGCGCCAAGTTGTCCGGATGGGTTGCGGTGTTGGCTCATTCTCACTCTCCTGTCTCTCTCTCTCTGTCTCTCTCTCTCAGTCTCTCTCTCTCTGTCTCTCTCTCAATCTCTCCTTCACTATCATCCTCTCGCGTCGGCTTGCCCAGTCAAATACCACAGCAGCCGTAGCAGCCTCTTTGCACGGGTGATCGCCTCTCTTATGGTGCTTGCTCGTTTTTTCGAGGACGCACATACCGCTCCCGTTCTTTTTTTTCCTCTTTTTTCTTCGTGGACCGTGACAAACCGACTTCCTGCTCTTTTTCTCGCCTGCTGTTTGATTTGAGGAAGATCCCTCTGAAGCGCAACATCACATCTTCCCCCTTGGCTCTCCGCAGGAGGGGTTGGTGCCCAGCGACGAAGCGGTTCTTGAGGCATACGATACCTGCCTCAGGGAGGAGCAGGGACACTTCACGTGCCTCGATACCCTGCTGCAGGTAGAAGTGCTTCAGTTTCGATAAGGCCTTCATCGACTGTGTAGGGTCCCATTTC